CACGTTCTGAGAAGCTAGCGATGGTCAACGCTCCTCAACCTCAATCCTGCAGACACAACATCACCCGTGGATAGTACTAGTATAAATTAGGGTCACTCAATGTATGCATGATGAGCATAAATAACACATTTGGGCGTGCCGATAAGGGAACTATGACGAAGCCTCTTCTGATGCAACCTCTGGCGAATGGAACTCCAAATAATCACAGAATCAAAAACACAGGAATGCTGAAACATTCGTCCCCTATTCATTTTATTGTCGTCTATATATTGTAGTATAAACATTCAGGGTCACACTACTGTTTACGTCTGTTGGATATCTTGTTTGCGACGTCGCTCGCTTATTCATACTTACTTCCCGTCTATGTTGTATTGCCCTAGACAATACTCCCACCTCGGTAACTTTTCCTTATCTTAAATTCAGCTTCACAAGTCCTCATTTTGTCCAGATAGCCTATCTTACTGTACAAGCTTTCGGCTCGTATCTCTCCATGTCCGCCTGGCTACTTTTGATTAGCGAAAGAGCAGTAGCCTCAGTATACGTTTCTACATACGAGCTACGCTTTAAAAGCTACAAAGCACCGGCCGTCCTTGGAGGAACTGTGGTGAGCTCATTTGTATTAAGTTAGCAATATAAATAGAAATGTTGTTCCACCTTCGACTCAATTTAATTACTTGAATATAACAAGCACTGCAGTCTCGGATTCAGGCTGGTCACTCAATATTGAGACACACACTTTGAAAGTTTACGCAAAATTAGTTAACGATTGCAGACCAAATTTCGTACCACTACGGAAATTAGAAAATATTGCTGAAGCGTCATTCATATTACTGCTCCTTCATATTTCCTCACTGCCATATTTTTCCAAAACAAAGTGCTCAATAATTTCCTTGAAGGATGAATGGGTATCGAGTTGGTGCTTGTTTGTTCAAAAATTTGACAAGATGCGATGAGGAACGTCACTGCGAAGAAGATGCAAAAAGCGCCAAAGCATCCATTGAAATTTCGCTCAAAGGGTCATGGGCTCGGCTTGAAGACATAGCGCTGCGAGGAGAGGTAAAACGCGAGAGAGCAAGTCGTACGCAGGAGGGCGCAGGCACCGCGTATCCTGCGAATGATAAGGTGGAACATACAAAACAAGGCCTTAGCATGGTTGCCTCGCACATTTGAGTCGGGATAGTGACGTACCTCCTGCGCTGAGGGATCTTTCTTCCCCACTCCATGAGAGACTACTTCTTGGCACCAAATACCGACCCCTGGCTTGGATCAACTTAATTTAGGAGCACAGGAGTGCTGCTTGCTAATAGGTCAAGCATAACCTTGATTGAAGGTGTTGCTGGCAATATCGAAGTAGCTTCTCAGGCATGTCTTGCGAGTCTGTACTAGAACGAAGTATGGGAAACCATGACCAAGGTGGTTTAAGCTACGTGTTTTTTCGAAACAAAAATATAGTCATAAAAAATGGTTCTGTTATTATATAGAAGGAGTGATGCAAATATGAAGACCAGATTTGCTTACCTGATGCTACGCAGATCTTCAGTTAGACAGATTTCCCGCTCTTTCACCTCCGAATCCTCAGCAAATCACAACCTATGTAGTACAACGTGACTGGATATGCTGCTTTTATTTATCCACAATGCACCGTTGTTTTGAAAACGCAAGAAATAATCATTTGTTCGCCTTTTTGTTGGTTTCTTAAATGCATAGAAGTTTTTGTCCACTTTCTACGCACCAGTAACATTGATGAGTCCTCCTTTTCTTTCCAGATACTGCTGACGATACTTTTTCAGTATTTGTCGTTTTCTCAACTGAGTGAGTACAACTATTTTTTGCTGTTATTGAAAGGATCCTACTTAGCAAAATGTTATACATCTCGATATAATATTTTCAACAACGTACATTCGTACGCCAATCTCATTATTTTTCTGCTTTAGGTGAATTGATGAACTTTTTCATAATGGGACTGCAGATCGGCATTGTAGTCGTTTCCTTCATGGTAAGTGTAAGGAGGGAATATGAATGCACTTTTTGTGAAGAGTAGAAAACGTCATTTTCCTACGAGTGAAGGGAGAATGAAGGAGGGGAATGAGGAAGCGTCAGATTGTAATGTAAGTTAACTTGTCTCCTCTCTCACCACACAATCTCTCATGAATGATTACTTTTGAAATAAAAGGATAAAAAGGATAAAGCATTTGCCGTTGATCAATCCCTTTTTGGGATGCGGCACGCATTCTACTTCCATTTGTACATTCGTAGTGGCGTTTGAATGCGATGTGGCCTATACAATGACTTGCGGGGCCAGCCGATGTACAAGTCAGTGTTTTATCCTCCCAGACAAGTCTGGTACCAATTAACCGACCCCGGAGGGATGGAAGGCTTGGTTGGCCCGGGCGACTCACGACCCAGGATTTGATCCCCGGACCGCTCGCGTGGTAAGCGTGCCACTTGCCACTACACCACTTCCGCCCCCTTTTAAAAGAAACTTGGCAATTTGATCACCACTTACAAATACAAATTTTCCACATGTTATTCGGGGAACAAAGCTAAGGTCCTGTTAGGGGTACACTACAGGGATTTTGAGCCGTCTGTAGAAACGCTTTGGGTTCGGAGCTGCACATTGACGAGCGAACTGCGGTGCGACTTATCCAGGGCACCTCGTTTTGAATTGTGACGAATTTTCGTTTTAGTAAGATTCATAGTTTCTTTTTGTGCACAACTCCGGCGTCGAGCGAGCGCTCTCACCTCAATACGCCCAAAGCTGTGGTGTCTTTGCCCTCGAAAATGGTACACACTTGTACCACCAGTACTTAATGGTATTTAATGGGTTGATACGTCCTCCCCGCTGTTTGCGTCTGCGTGTAACAGTTAGGTGATGAATTCGATGGTCTCGAAGACTTCGATCTCACGTCTTTCTTCAAAAGTCTTTGAAACGTAAGAGAAGCTTTGAGGTTTGATCAAACAGTAAACTTGTTGTAACTGGAGGTGACATGGTTTTTATTTGTGAGGTTAACATTCAGGCTATGATTGTAATTATCGTCTCAAACAAGTCGTCATATAATAAGCGACATGATGCACGGATCCAACTAGCGACTCGTTATCAGTTGGATGAAAATATCCGGGTTGGAAGATACCTCATTCCGGTTGCCTGTAACGATATGTTGTCAAAGGTATCTTTCTATTATACAACATAATTCTCTGATATAGGGAGTTGAAAGTAAATTGCAATTATTTATGTTTCATATGCCTGCATACTGGAAAAAGTTCAGCGTACCCAGTTCAGTAAATAAGTATTCATCAGAGATCCTAGGGAAGCGAGGTTTGATGGGAGAAGTGGGAGTCGTCCAAGATATGGTCCAGGTGCAACAGGGAGAGATTTGGCTGTTCCAGTCAGCCGCTCGTCGCCGTGGTCGAGAAGTCGAATGCCTTGTAGCTCTCTCAGTTGTTTTCACTCCATGGGGCATAGGTCGACATATCATTGGTCAGCATCTGGAAGTACTCGTTCTGAGGAATGATAAATATATCGATTACTAACGAAAGTCCCATACAACTAGTTTCCTCCCTTCATACTTTATCCATAACTTTTCCGCATTTAAAACGTAATAATTGGACAGTGTCACGGACGTGACCAGAGCATAGAAAAATATGTAGCTTAATGAAAAGAGCATTCCTCGCTAGATGCGAGGTCGTGATAACCCCGCCGAGCGTTAAGCGTCCGTATAAAAGAGGGACCGGCGAGCATTTCCCTGCATTTTTTCTCCTTTCAACTCAGATTTCTTTTCTTTGAGAGCACTGCGAGCATCATAGAGCATCAGTGAGCATCAGTGAGCATTCTAGAGCATTTTATTCCCTCTTTTCATGTAATCTCATATTTTATGACTTTTTATCCATTTTTAATGCTTTAAAATGATTTCTTTCACTTATATCATGTTGTATATCTGTTGTACTGTTTGTATTTTATTTGT